TGCCCCGCAGCCCGCCCAGGGCCGCCCGGATCACGGGAAGCGGCACTGCCAGCCCTCCGAGTCCCCACTGGCCTTTTAGAGTCCGGTGTGTCTAGCTGCACTTCCGTGCTGGAGAGACAATTACGCATTTTTCAGATTATTCGCTAGTTTTTGGGTTTGAGAGCAAGGGGGCAAGGAGACTGGTGGATTGGGGCAGCTGTAGAGCAAGGATGCAGTGCCTGTCAAATCATCACCTCCTTCATTTAAGCCTGTATGGCAGCAAAGGAAGCTCTATATGACATTACAGTTTCCTCCATCTGCCACTCAGAACATTTCACGTGAAAACGCAGTAGGGCTGGCAGTCTGTGAAGCTCTTAAATGCTGGGCAGAGAAAGCTCAAGCATCATTTAAAACTTGCTTTGCCAGGAACTTTACTGAGCAGATATGACACTTTCAATAACTGCCCTGTTTCCCAAGCTTTGTTTCCCAGATCCTCAGCAAGCTGTATTCCAGGAGAAGGCCTCTGCTCAGAGCTCATCCAAAAGGCAATGAACTGCTGAGAAGGACTGTGTTGTAAGCACAGACAGTTGACAACTTCACTAATGGCTCCTCCACAGGTGACTTGCTTTTTATGAAAAATGAATACAAACCACCACATCTCATACCATGCATTATCTGTCAAAGATAATTTGGAGGCTGGCTGAAATTCCATCTAGATAAGCCTAAAATGATGCCAGTAGTCTGGGGAAAACAACCGGAGCAGACAATAATTACATGTGCTTCTACCATTTGTCTTTCAAGTTAACAATTTGTGGGTGTTAGGGACTCCCCAGCCGCTGGTCAGGCAATCATGCAGCTGGAGCATCTAGGAAAGACTTGCCTGCTCCTCTGCTCGCTTGTCTTGGGACATGAGAGGCACTGGCTCCTTTCTGAGACAAGTCTACTGCTGTGATCTATGCCTTATCTCCTTCAGATGAGAATACTGCGATGCGCTCTGCGTCAGCTCCCTGGAAATTGCAGCTGGAGCACACGGGCGCTGCATTACCAAGTGCTTTCATAGTACACCCTGCTCTCCTCGGCACTGGCTGCCCATTCACAGCTAGTGTTTCAGGCACAGGTAGTGTTTCAGGCACTGTGCTTTGCTCACAGGAGGTGGAGATCATCGCTTCCTTCGCCTGGAGAAGAGGCTCTGACAGCACATTCACCGTGACAAACCCACGAGGTTGCTCTCGTCAGAAACAGCCTTAATCTTGTTGACTGCCACGGCAAGCTAAGAGCTTGGTTAGAGCAGCATTTCCCCCTGGGGATCCAGGACTGTGATAAAAGCTGTAATGGGGTGGGGGGGACTCGGTAAGATTTTTATAATTTGGTTTTCCATTATGTTTTCTGATTTTGAAGTGAAGCATCAATTGAGGTCAATCCTTTATGTAGATTTATAAGGTAAGAGTGCTTAGAGCACTCTAATTTAAGCTAAACTTAAACTTACCTTATGGTAAAACCCTTTGGTATATATAAATACATGAGAGCATGGCTTATCTTGATAAGCTTGTTATATCAAGGGTTTGTTTACCTAATGTCTAAAATGAAGTTGCAGCATAAAAAGCAGAAGTTCTGTAAAATGCTCAAAAACACATATAAAAATCCAAGGACAGCAACTCTTCCCAAGTCAAACATTTCTCAAAGGACCAAAAATAAATGAATTCACAGAGTTAAATATCTGAATCTCTACTCTGCTGCAGAGCAGCATTTCCCATCTCCATCACGACTACTTTATAGGTGTTACAACGGAAATACAACAGGAGTTGCTTTTTAAAATATTTAAAACCTTGAAAACTATATGGCTGATTTTGAAGGATGAACCGAAGTTTTAAAAGAGCTCATGCTATAAAATACAGGCAATTGTCACACCATCGTCAACTGTGGCATTACAGTAGGCATTACTGGTAATACACAGGGTCAATATAAGTGCAGAATGTAAACAAAGTTATCAAAACTATATTATCATGCAAGTAAAGACGCCATATTCTTTGCAGCTTTCCAAGTGATATATCAGGCTTCAACATACAACCCCACTGAGCTTAATGGATAATTTAATTCTCTCAGAAACTAATTTTTGGCTGTCTGCAGACTCCAGATGAAAAACCACTGTCATTAGTACACCTTGTTCACATTGCCAAGTTTTCCTTTGCCACTGAACATTTAATTTTCTTTCCAGAAGAAAGAATTTCAACCTTCTGACTTGGCCATTCAGTGACATCTACCTACTTGACCACGGTCAGTTACACAAAAAAATTGTTATAAATAAAACATTACTAGGACTAATGAAGAAAGTAACCCCATCATGCTACTAGGGCTACAATCCCACAAAAATGATCAAGGTGGGAATCTAAAACCCATGCAAGCTTTTCTACTTCAGGGTAAAGTCCTCAGTTGCATCTATATGCTCTCACCCTTCAATTCTGAAAAGAAGAAAAAACCCCAGGGATTTAAGGCCAGAAATGGTTACAAACAGACAAACAAATAAAAAAACCCCAACAAAAAGGATCTTAAAGGATCAATTTTACAATCAACATTACAAACTAAACAGGTTTGAATGTAAATTTACAGCAAATACATTCCATCATCCAAGAGTAAGTGCTATAAATTCAGCAGATGTGCTACACCACAGTCCTAAGAAAGATTGAAGTCTCTGCTTTTAGTGCAAGAAAACCAGCTCAGTCATAATTGTACAGAGTCACTGTGGACTACCAGAACAGAAATTTTCCAAATCCTACCGATTTCCTCCCTGAAATCCTCCCTGCCATCTCCTAATCAAAATGCTTTTGAGGATAGAGGCACAAATAAGGCAGGAAAATAGCCTCAAGACTTGGCACCCTCCTCAATGATGGATGGGAGATTCTGAGCAAAATGAAGTCCCCTAAGTAGCCTTCTGGGTTAGTGTCACTGCTCCCACCAGTGCTGCTGTCATTACACAAATGCAACCAATGCTGCATCTTTCTGCACATGAACTCACAATGGCTAAAACAAACGTTTTTGCCTGCTATGCCTTAATGTAAGGCTTACCTTGCACTTTCCTTTCCCCTCTCTCACAGATCCCAGCAAAAAATTGTCCTTCTGACCCCAAGAGGACTGACAAATGGAGATGGAGAGTCTCCTTCTGTCTTTGAGGTCAGCACTTCTGATCTAGCCGTAATTCAGTAATTACTCAGTTCGTGTGGCTCTCCAGAAGCATACATTAGCAGCTTGGAGGGGGAAGAGAAGGATGACACCATTCCTGACCTCAACCACCTCTCATCTTCACACACCCCCTGAGCTCCCTCTGCCTGGAAGGGCAGAGGACAGTAAGTGATGCAGGATGGGGAATCAAGAACAAATTTGCAGGTAACATATGCTGGAAAGGCTCTGAGCACACCAGTGTTTGTTAGAGGAAACATGATTTCTGCATGCAGCTGGTGGGGTCCTCTGACAGATTTCTTCTTTTCAAAATAAAAGGTTTTGCTGCTGATGCAGCACTAGGAAGGTGAAGACTCCGCAGACTCAGGCACATAGATTTCTCACAGACATGGCACCCGTCCCCTCTAAGTATTACTCTTATCGTAATCTTTTCCCCTGTTACACAATTTTGTGTCATGCACAGGCTCACCACTGCACTTTTACAGCTTTCATCTAGAGGCTCTTAGATGCTATGGGAATGGGCATTAGTGACTACCTTGAAGATAGATAATACAAAACATGACAGCAAGATTGGGCACCTACAGGTCACGCAACTGGGGACTGAAACTTATATTCACGGTGGGACAGCTACATCTTTAAGTGACTGTAAAGCAAGGGCAGCTCACCTGTTTCTCTTTCTCCAAGAAAGACATCAGCATGGCTACATTCATTAACATTTCCTACTTCTCTTCCTACCTATCCCTAGGATTTCCCACACCTTCCTCCTATTTCTTTTACACTTCAGATAAAAAGTGTTACATCTGACCCTACACAAGGGAGAAGCGGTATCAGACGTCTCCCAAGGAACTGCAACAAAGATAGAGAGGGCTCTCCTCTCATTAATTCACTGATATTTAACTTTTCCCCTTAAGACTACCAAAGGATTTGTGCTTGCTGGAAAATATTTTGGACAGGCAGAAGTTTTCAGCATACTAATGGTCACATCTTGGGTGCATCACTTGGAAGCTGCTCTCCTCCAGGCACTGGGGAGATCTCCATAAACCATAGCATTAAATCCTACAGCCTCTTCCTGCAACCGAACAACTGGATAGAAAGACTTTGGAGCACCTCAAAGGAAGGAAAAAGGAAAAAAAAATGATAAAGCAGCTGAAGGTAGGTAGTGTGAATCATAGCAGGAAAAAAATTAAAACACTGCAACACTTCTGCCTTTTCATCTTCCCATTACAAAGAGCTGATTCATGAAAATAAGATCTTTGTACCTTAAGACCTCCTCTGCTTCTTCTGCTTCTTCCTTTTGCTTCCTGCCAAAAAGCTGCTTCTGGCAGAATAGAATTAGTTGCTGTGAAAGTGATTGTGATGCTGCAGACAAAAGAATCTGAGTCCAGCAGAAAAAGCAAAAAACAACAGAAGCTGAACTTTTGAGGAAAAGCCAATCACATTTCCATGCAGATGCCCAGAGTCATGAAGGTGGAAATTAAAACAGAAAGCCATACAAATAGGATTCTCCAGCAAGACAGTCTCCAACAAGGCAGAAAAGACCATCAATAAATCTTCATTATCTGAATTGCTAAGCATATCTAAATAAAAGTAGAAACTCAAATATTAGAACTTGTCTTTTTAAATGATCTTACATAAAACCAACTCTGCCTTGCTTGAACATGTTTTACAGAAAGGGATTTTTTTTCTCTCTCTTACTTCTGCTAGCCCTTTACAGAGGTTTCATTTGCTGGGGTGGCTTTTTCTGCCTACGGGGAAGTGGGAATTTCTGGGCTTAACAAGCTCAAATCCCCATGACATATAGTTCCAAATTTTAGAGGCAACTAAGATTTTGATTCTTACTTTGCTCCCTGTTGGCTTCCTCCCTGATGTATGCAATAGCTGTTGAATCTCAGCTGTGCCAACAGGAGAGGAAAAAAAAGGTCCCTGAAGGAACAGCTTTAGTTCTTCCAGTCACCTTGCTGCTACCACGCTCCAGAATTCCAGGCACATAAAACAGCACATAAGAAGAGCTTGCAGCAGCAAGGGGCCAATGCAGAAAGCATCAGACTGGACCAAAACCAAGAAAGTCTTCCATATTCATCTGGTAAGAAGTCTGTACTTATACTGGGTAGTAGAAACCTATGGGTACACTAAAGATAGAGAGGCATTGCATGAGATCACATTAACTTCTTGTCATAGAAATCAACTTCTGTGCTTTCTTTTGTTACATATAATGATATTCTCTGGTCCTGATTCATCTGAGATATTGGTTTATTGAAAGTATTTATAAAGTTCCACCACAGTTTACTTATGTATCTCCTCTTGCTAACAAAACATGAGGGAAAAATACCTACTTCAAACACAACCACTTTAATTACTTTGTATCTTGAGACTCATTAAAGTTTATTCAGTGCTCAAACACTCCTAATTCTACATTTCAAAAGATAGTAGCGTCTTATTTTAGTGCCCTGCATAACTTTAAAGTTGCACTCAAAAACGAATCAGGACAGGGCACATGAGAACATACGGAACTCACAACGTTGAATGCAACATACTCCGCTATTTATGAACACTACTGACACATCTGGGGATGGGGGAAAGCAGCATATTTTCATTCACATTACCTAACTAAAGTGATAAAAATGCTTTAAAAGATATTAGATAACAGACACAAAGACACAACTGTCCTCAGTTAAGAAAATCAGACTTTAATTTTTAAAGGCTGGACAAATCTATCTTTAGAGAGTCCAAGCCATATAGCAGAATCTTAACTAACTTGGTTTTGTTTCAAGATTTGAAGGATTCTTCCAGTTGCCTACTTAAGTTCAGGTTCAAACTAACAAAACCTCTGATTACATATCATGGATTTTATCATTCCTCTTTAAATGATTATCTTCTGCAGATGGGAATCCTGCTAGCACTCACATTTGTCCTGAGAGATGATTAGGACTGAAGGTCTCCCATTTAACTTCTGTAAATGTGCTGTGAGTAATTAGACCTAAACAAAATACTGTCAGTTCCATTAGGGCTCTGAAAATAAGGTCAGCACTTCTTAAGACGGCAGAAGCAAGAACAGATACCTCAGCAAGCACAGTTCACGTCAACCTACCAACTCAGTAAGTCTCCACTGCTTTTAGCAAGTTTAGGAAATAGCCTAAACTTCCAAATAATAAAACAAGCTATTCACAGTGGCATTTTCAATGAGAAGCAACAGCATTGGCTGTGGGGGGGCTGCAGTACTCAACATCATCCCCCTGACAACCCCAGCTGAACGCAGGTTTAATGATGGGACACTGGTTACACTGGTGGAGAGAAAGCCCTTCACCAGGGTGAAGTTCCACATTCCCTGGGGTACCTGCCCCCAGCTCAAGGATCCCCTCATCAGGGCCAAGCCTTTTCATAGCAGGGAGCATAATGTGAGAGAAGAAACGACTACTCTTCTCCAAAAGTAACAACTCTTACAGTGTGATTCATTCCAGAGGCTAAAGATCAAGGTGTCGGCTTACTTCTAATATTGATGAAAAAGGGCAGTCACCCTATTTGTAATGAGCTAGCATTATCTCATCTTGAGAAACAAGAAGTCAGCAGCTAGCCTCAGGTGATAAGTAGGGGGCTTCCTTAACAGTACTTTTAACATTGGGACACAAGTTTAAAAAACAACAAAACAACAAAAACACATAGAAAAGAAAGAGGAAAAGCAGTTGTGGTTACAAGAAAGGGAATATCTTAAAAGAAATGGGCGGGGGGCAGGGGGAAACTAATTAACGCTTTCAGCTCATTCCCCTTCACCACTGCCTGGAAATTCTTTTCTGATGCACACATTGCCTGCCTAGGGCTTTTTGAGAGACCCTTGCACATCCTCACTGATTACTTCCCCTACTCAGGGAGACAGACTGTCCTTTACCCTAAATGCTTTTATCCTCTTGATGAGGTCTCTTACCCAGCTGGATCCTGCTTCCTTCTCCCACTGCAATCTCTGAGCCTGAGAGAAGACACCTGGGGACCTTCCACTTTTTCTAGGAAAGAGATTTAATCCTTTCATATCCTAGCATGGGGCTGAAGTGATGCACATCTTCCCCCAACCTGAACACCTACGGTTACAGTCCTGGGCAACAGACGTCCCCAGCTGAAAAGAAATCAAAGGAAAGGGTTTTCTCCACTGTTTTCTGCTCTTTTAAAAGCAGATAGATAAAGAACAGAGGAAAGCCCCATAGGGGACAATCCTGCCATAGCCAAACAAAATAATGAGGCTTAAAATCTCTTCTGTATCTATTCTTAGCTAAATTACATCCCAAATGTCCTCTACCCTCAGTTTTGCAGGATGCACTTAACTCACCACTCCCCACCTCCCAGACTCACAAGCAGTGTCCAGTCCCACTTGGTCACCCCCACTCCTGCTCTCCCTAGGGCCAGAGGTCCACAGGAGAAGACCTCAATGGTTCTTTCGACTTAATCCTCCAAGGGGCCTGTGGGGTGATTCTAGGTTTCACTTCCCAGGCAAGCTGGGTAGTGACTCAGACAAACCAACAGACAGTATTGTGCACAGACAACGATTTTTATCTTCAAAGTGCTTTACAAACTTAAAAATTCTTACTTTCCCTCTGAGGGGAAAAAAAGAAGGGAAAAAAAACCCCCTAAACATCACCATTGTGATGGAACAGAGATGCAAAAATGCCTAAAAATTCTTTCATGTTGAAGCAGAGGCAACGGAGAGGAGTCCTGTGGTGCAGCAGTGCTTTGGATTTAGGGTTGTTTGTGGCTTTTTTGGCTTTTACACCAAAGACCTGGATTCGAATCCTGTTTCACATCAGTCCAGTAGGACAGAGGCTCTTAAGCTGTGGCCAACAGGTCCCTTCCCCAAGGGCCATGGAGCTGGGGCTCTGAGAAGCAGGTGGCAGTACATGGGTGCCTTCCAAGAATCCACTTGCTAGTTCAGACTGCAAAAGTGCTGCACAATTAATTATACATCTGTGCTACAAAAGATCAGCTCTATAACTGCAGGGGGTGCTATTCATCAGCCTTGAAACATATTGGCAGAGGACAGCCAGGGTCCAGTAGTTGAAATAAAGAAATAAATAACTACAAAAGCAGGAGGTGCTCTGGGTCCTTAGGAGTGAAGTGCAGCAGCAGGACCCGAGTGACCCCGGAGTGGAGAGAAGCCTGGCCCTGCAGACAGTCGGGACGCGGTGCTTTTCACAGGAGTTTCATGAACCAGAGCAGCAGAGAAGCCGCCGGTCATCGGGGTGATCGGGGTGAGATGCGTAGGCAGAGCGGTGGCAGCAAGGAGCCTGCCTGACACCTGCCCTTTTCGTTTCTCAGCCCTCCCCTTTCATGGAGGCAACAAAAACACCACATTCCCAGCTGTGAGAATCCAGTCCGAAGTGGCTTCACCAAAGGGCAAATGCAGAAGGACCCCCTTTTGCTCATCCCTTTCTTTTGAAGCCCTCCTTTCCTGGAGCAGGCATTTAGCAAGTACAAATACACCACAACATTAGGCATCCTTCCACTGTCACTCTCCACTATCCTTCCTCCTCCAGACACGCACACTAACACAAAATGATGGCTTCCTCAACAGACTGAATGAGCAAAGCCCTCGCACTGATCCTTAATTGTCTGCGCTTTACTCTCTTGCTCCAGTCATATTATATCACAAAACTCAAAGCAGCCCACCCACTGCCCCCATCTTTGTCCAAAATCTCAAGTGAACAGTAAATTTGACACAGGGAAAAAAAATTACCAAAGAAGGGAGGGGCAAGCTAACCCCCCACTTGCCCCCCCCGTTTTCCTCCTCCCCTTTTTTTAATTTTTATTTTTAAAAATATTTTTTAGGTTGCTCTTTGCTGATGCACACACATTGCTATTGTGCAGCTGTCAGTTAAAAAAAACAACAATCACCAAACCCCCCCCTAAAAATGAAGATACTGAAGAAGAAATCATATCTCACAGCCCTTGAGAATGTGACCCTGAGGCCTTGCCCTTCTCCCTCCTGATGCACCCACATATCACGGGGGAATGGCAGGCCCCCTCCCCATCCACCCCCGTGCTACTCTGAGCCTGCAGAGCAAGGAAAAAAAAAACAAACAACACATCCAAAACAAAAACAAAATAAATAATAATAATAAAAAAAAAATCAACGAGAGATACAGGGAAAAGAAAAAAGGGGGGGGGCACCCCCCTCCCTGCATATGCATAAACCCCATAACCCATTCATGTCGGTCTCGCAGGAGCCAGACTGCAGCGAGCAGCCAACAGCTGGGGCCTTTGAAAAGGGACAAGGCGAGCGGCTCGCCGTGCCCAGCCAGGGGCTCCGGCTG